CTCGTCGCGACTCACTGATTTTGTAGCTGGTTTCAGAAACTCTCCGCACCTGCGGTGCTAGAACCGGACTGTAGGATCCCTCCTCCACCAAGATGAGACTGATCAGCGCTCTGCTTCCACCAGAGCAGCAGAAGCTGGTTCCGGCCTCTGCTGAGGCCTGAGAGGAATCTAGGCAGATGGCAGCTGGTGGGAGAGGCTCCTGGAAACGGGCTTTATTTCTTGTTGACATTCAAGATAGCTACTTTAGAAGTAGCTAGATGCTCAGCTACAGCACCGGTCACCAAGGGTAGTGTCTTAGATTTTACTAGATCAAATGGGGTTTAGGTTTATTTAATCAGGAGAAGCATGTGACATCAAATTAATCAGTGGTGCTTCCAAGTTTGTATTTGTGACTACTCCGTGAAAGGAAAGATTTGTGCGGTTTTATAATAAAGCATTTGAATTTTCTAAATGACTAAAATTCAGCAAGTACACTGAAGCTTGTAATTTAAATGAATTCCATTGAGCCAGTGCTTGCTGGTATCTGCTTATGTCATCTAAGGTTTGACGCTTGTGTGCTCCAGTGAGAGAGCACAGGTCAGTGTCACTGTAAAAGAATGGCATGACTGCACCTGCCTCCAGCAAACTGCTTGCAGATTGTTTGCAAACCTGAAATTGTTTCTTGAAGAAATTCCTAGGTGATATTGAATTTAAAAATCTCAAGTTTTACTCAACCAGTTCCCACATTAGCAAACAGAAGAAGATTGCATTGACTGGATAAGTGTACGTTATTCTCTCAGCTTTAATTATAAACCAGTTCTGGTTTTAAGTCCCCACATTCATGATCCTATGGAGGTGTATGCATCGACTTGAGTTGATTTGACACCGTTTGTGCTTAAACACTCAGTTTTGTTAACAGTAGCGTTACATAGTGTTACAGCCTGTGTATTGATTCTTTGTTTTTGCTTTTTTGATAATTATAGATCAATAAGCCTGAGAAGCTGGACAAGCCAGAGAGCTGTGATAATGTCAAGGTGGTTGTTCGATGCCGGCCTCTTAATGAACGAGAGAAAGCTACGGGCTACAAAATGGCAGTCAACGTAGATGAAATGAGAGGCACTATAACTGTTCATAAAACAGACTCATCCAATGAGCCTCCCAAGACATTTACGTTTGACACAGTGTTTGGACCAGAGAGTAAACAGCTGGATGTCTATAACTTAACCGCAAGACCTATTATTGACTCTGTCCTAGAAGGATACAATGGTAAGTCCCTTAAGTCAAGGATCCCATCTCCTATTCTTTGCATTGTTAAGAGTTCCTGCTGTTGTTCTGCTGATGTTATTTAAGGGAATTTCACCTTCTGAGGGCTGTAGCTCTGTATTGTTTCTGTTGTGGCCTCTAACTTAAAATAGCCTGAAGGTACTTGCTGTTCAGGGTACTCAGTGGTTGTCCCTGCTATGATCATTAACAGTGGGAGATTGGTGATGAACAAGACTCAGCCAAGGTCAGTTAGCTGTATGTTTTTATTCTGTGTCTTCTGTTTGCAAAAGGTATACACTTTATCTCATTATCAGAATTCTCGGCGGCTCTTCACTGTACAATTTCAGTAACCAGGCAGCTGCCACGGTCCTGCAAGTAACTAGGTATGCATACCAGACTTGTGCATATAACTGCTGCATTTTCTCCTCTAAACTTTGCTGTTTTTAACTAAGATGACTAGTTAAACAGATCTGCCCTACCTCACAGATAGTCCGTTGCTTCCTACAGCTGGGAAGAGTATGACCATGATTTGTGTGTGTGTCTTGTTATGCATGTAAATATATTATGTAAAGGAAAGCAGGTGCTAGTGAGGAAGCAAATTACTGCTTTCCATAACAGTATGCTATAAACAATAAAGTTTTTAAAGGTCTGTAAAATGCCTAATGAGCCCTAGTGCTAACATACTCAGGTTTCAGCTGATTAAAAAATCAGCTTTTCTGAACTGTAATGTCAGTGGCTTGACAGTCAAAACTTGAGTTTTCAGCAGTGCTAGGCTGAACTTAAGAACGAGTATATTTCTAGAGTACCGGAGTCTGGGATCTCAGTAAATTTTCTGGATGTCTTCTTGTGCAGGCTCATTATCTAGTCCAAATTATAGCTGTTTGTGCAGGTTCAGAACTGGGCTTGTGCTGTGGCTTGTGTTGTAGAAGCCTCACATTGTTTCTGCGGTAGCTTAGAGTACTAGAAATAGTTGGTTTTGCAGCTGATATATAATGATCTTCCTGTAATTGACCATTACACACCATGTTATTAATTGGGCTTGGTGTAATTATTTGTGTGTAAGACTTAAGTGTACTAGCACTCCATACTTTGATCACTCTGCACAGTTAAAACAAGCTTACTTTTTCTTAGATATCTTGCAGGCTGTCCAGCCCTGTTCGCTGTGGTTGTCCAGGATTTCTGTTGCTCCTGGCCTTGTACAGTATCTACTGGAGTGGTTGGAAAATTTCAACTCCATAAAAATAGAGGTGTTTAGTGCTATCAGGCTAAGAAGGGATGAAGTAAAAGTAACTGCAGTTAGCAACTTCTTAGAGCTTGTTCGTATATCTTCTTATCCTTCAGGTACTATTTTTGCATATGGGCAGACTGGAACAGGCAAAACTTTCACCATGGAAGGGGTCCGAGCAGTTCCTGAGCTTAGAGGCATCATTCCCAATTCCTTTGCCCATATATTTGGTCACATTGCCAAGGCAGAGGGGGATACAAGGTAAACGGCTTCTCTTCACTGCTGCTATCTTTTGTATGTGCATCTGTAGTAGGAGCCTGACCTTGACAATGGCAACTGAAACAGTACCTCTGGCCCTAGCTGAAAGACTCCTTGGGCAGTTCTTGGTGAGGTAGCAGGATTGTGCTTGTATATCACTGTGTTTTCTCTGTGCTCTGTGATTGTGTTTGTTGGACTTCAACAAATGCCTTACTAAGACAGTTACCCAGCTGTTTGTCTTCAGGTTTTTAGTTCGTGTGTCTTACTTGGAAATTTACAATGAAGAAGTGCGGGACCTGCTGGGAAAAGACCAGACACAGAGGTTAGAGGTGAGCCTACTGATCTGCATGTGATGTTTGTTTTTGAATCAGTGAGCAATATTATATTTGAAAGCCTACAGAAGCACTTGAAGGGAAGTGTGAGGTTGGACTCCTCAGCACATGTACTGTTTCCTTTAAGATGGATGTCACTACTGACATCTCTGAATCTTTTCCACTTGGTCAGTTGCATAGTGAGAAATCGGCTGTTCCATCTGAGTCTGTTTTGTGCCTGCAGTTCTACCCCAAAGGCCCCTCAGCAGTCTTTCTAGGAATTGGAGACTGAGATTTGAAGGGGGAAACCGGTGGAATGAATGGGTCTTCATTCCTTAGCTGCTCTGATTCTGAGTGCTGGAGCCAGAACCTGGAAGAATAAATCGCTGTACTGTTACAGTTCCACTGAAATTTGCTATTGGGGATCTCCTAAGGATGCTCAGTCTAAACTCTTTCTGTCTTAGGTTAAAGAGAGACCTGATGTGGGAGTTTATATCAAAGACCTTTCAGCTTATGTCGTAAACAATGCAGATGATATGGACAGAATCATGACTCTGGGACACAAGAACCGTACGTAGCCTTGCTGTGAGCAGGTTTCTAGCTCAGAACAAAAGTCTCGTTATGAGACCACAGTAAGAGATCCTAGTCCTAATGCTGGGAGGATTGTTCAGCTGAGCAGAGCAAAAAGGATATCTGCTCCCTGTGTGCAGGGGCAGGTCAAGAAGGCTCTGCCTCCCGCATTGGCCAGTGCCAGTGGGTGAAACGACGAAGGATGCAATGAGGGCAGTCAGCGTTGTCAGAACTACTAGTGTGTGTCTTGGTTCTTTTCCCTCTTCACTTCTCATCAGGATGAACAACTAGCCCTGTGCTGAGAGTGGGAGGTGGTTTATGTTTTCTGGAAGACTTCTTAGTTAAGATCAGATCCTTTTATGACCTGAAGTTCTGACTACTGTTGCTCTTGGCATGGATTGCTGTGTTCTTATTTCTCAAAATACAGCTGTCTGTGGGGATCAGCTGTGAATGCCTTAGGCTACTGATCTTTGTAGCCTTAAAGAAACAGATGAGAGCTACTGCTCTTGGGATGGGAGTCTGTGGCTGACGTAGAGCTACAGCAGGCTGTAATGCTTCTGCTAGTCCAGGTTGGAGATGTGCTGCAACTTCAGTGCCCAAGAATACTGCTGAGTCTGAGCATCCCTCTTCCATCTTCTGAAAAACCGGGTTGGGTAAAGAAGTGGGGATAAATCTCCTTTCAGAGCAGGAAGAGTGTTACAGGAGCAAGTGATTCCTTATGAAAATGTCATTGCTTTTTCTCTTTTAAAAGGTTCTGTTGGAGCCACAAACATGAACGAGCACAGCTCCCGTTCACATGCCATCTTCACTATCACTATTGAGTGCAGCGAGAAGGGGGTTGATGGAAACATGCATGTGCGCATGGGCAAACTGCATCTTGTTGATCTTGCTGTAAGTAGGACCAGCCAGGTCTGCCATAATGCATGGTGGGCATCGCTGCTTATGTGTGTACTGTTGAAGGCACAGTAAGGGCATGTTCCATAGCCCAGACTTGTGTTTGGCATTTGACTTCTGTGAAGTAGTCACTTGGGGACTTAAATCAGAGGTGTACCAGGAAGAGCCTTTAGTGTAGCTAGAGCCTGTGCCAGCAAAAGGTCTTCTCTTGCTTCTATAAATTAATCATTAAATGGATAAACTACATTGGAAAGAGCCCTCTGGACAGCAGAACTGGGTCTTTGCAAGAGGGTTTTTCGTTTGTTTTAGAGGGTTGTGACCATGCAGTTCATCACTTGCAGGTTCCCTCCCTCTGTCACTCACTTTGAACCAATGTAATTGTGCTGGTAAAATGTGTCTTTAGCCCAAACTTTGCACTGGAGTATCATTCCTTGGAGAAGATACAGGAAAGGGCAGACTAAAGGCATTCAGTGTCTGCATGTTAACTTTATTTTCATGATGTATGTTTAGGTTGCTTTGTGAAGCTTTTTAAAATAATTGCAGTGTTGCTTTTCTCCCTTGATCTGCTGACAGGAGGGGCTGGGAGTGGTGCTTAGCAGCTCCAATTGAGGCATCTCATAACTGCTGACTTGCTTCTCATAACATTTTTGTTCATGGGCACAAAATCTCCATTTTCCTAGCTGCATTATTTTGAGCAATAAAGAGTTTGCTAGCACTGAAAGCTTCAGTTAAGATCTATTTGACTTGCCTCTTAACAAGATAGGTCTGAGGTACTTACTTGTTATTAGAGAATGTGTCTGAGGTGGCTAGTGATGTGGCTGCTAGCAAGACTTCAGGTGTAGTTGATCCTATTTGGAGGAAGGAAATGTGTTAGAGCATCTGTTGCAACTTCTGCTTCCTCTTCCCTTTCCAGGGTTCTGAAAGACAGGCGAAAACTGGAGCCACAGGGCAGCGACTGAAGGAAGCTACTAAGATCAACCTCTCTCTTTCCACACTGGGGAATGTTATCTCTGCGCTGGTGGATGGCAAGAGCACCCATGTGCCCTACCGTAACTCCAAGCTTACGCGGCTCCTTCAGGATTCTCTGGGGGGCAACTCCAAAACCATGATGGTAAGCTCAGAGATGCCCTTTCCGGTGCCAGTTATCTAGCTGCATTTTTACAGGGATAGCATAGTGACTTTGTGATGAGAACAGCTTGGCATTTACCTCTATTTCAGAGCTGTTTGCAGCTCAAAGAACTCTTGATGTGCTTTTTCTATCTTTTCTCTTTGCCTCTGTACAGATGAGGTTCTAAACACCGTGCAGATGTACATATGTGCATAAAATCAAATAGAAGCTGTGCTGGGGTAGCCAGA